ACTAAATCAAAAACTAAAGACCAACACATAAACACTCGACATTAAATCACTTGATGAAAAACTAACGAATTTCAAACAAAAAATGAACACGAATTAAATCCAACAACATTACAACAAAGATGAGTGATTCAAACTAAATCACTCGACATTCGACATTAAATCACTTGATGAAAAACTAACGAACTTCAAACAAAAAATGAACACGAATTATCTCTAACACAAACAAAGACCTGGGTTCGAATTCAAACTAACCTATCTGAACCGAGTTCATGGCTGGACGTAGCAGAAGCGATGGTGGTCGCTTATGTGGAGTGGTCGTTGTTGGTTTTTCCGGCGACTGGAGGAAATGACGAAGGAGATGAAGCAGCGGCCATGGTTGCTGCTGGTTGGGCGACGCTGGAGGGGTCGTTTGGAGGGTGGTCGCCAGTCTTCGAGCTGGAGTTGCTCGCTGGTTGAAGACGAAGCAGAAGAAGCAGCAGCATGATGAAGAAGAAGAAGAAGCAACGTTTGGTTTGGAGGTGTTGCTGCTTGACGTGATGGGGACGAATAAGATGCAGAAGGGCAGCCATGAGAGCTTGAGCTGTTCGTTGGTTGCAGGAAGATGGACGATGGGGCAGCTGCTGGTCGACGAGCTACTGGTCGACGACGAGATGCTGGTGGCGGCGATGGCAGTGGGGTTGTTTGAGGCGACGTGGTGAGGAGGAAGGAGGGCAGCCATGGGAGCTTGAGGGGCTGCTTGGAGAAGGAGAAAGAGAGGGGGCGGGTGGCTTTTTTAGGGTTTTTGGGGTAGGGAAAAATGAAAAAAATGAAAGGGGGGGTTGGGATTAGTTTGAGTTATGGGGAGGACTGGGTCGGGTCGACCCGGTGGGGGTTATTTGGTTTGGGTCTGGTTTATTTAAATTAAAAGGTGGCCCAATCCGATTTTCTTCTTATTTCCATTGCTTCTTTTTTTCTTCTTTTATTTTTTCTTAAACTAAAACTAAGTTCTAAAAATCCTAAATTATCCTATAAAACTAAATTAATTTATAAATGTGCTAATTAACTCTTAATAACAATTAACACACAATTAAATAGCAATTACGATAAAATTACGCAATTTGGATATTAAATGCCAAAAATACGACGTACATTATTTTAATGATTTTTATTCTTGTAAAACAAACTTAATTGCTCCTAATTGTAGAATCAAATCCTAAATGCAAATGCGACATATTTTTGTATTTTTTATTAATTTAACAAATAAACATGCACGGACAAATACAAATAATTATCAAAAAATGCACGAAAATTCTCAAAATTGCGCACAAAGGAAAATTGTTTTATTTTAAATTTTTTTGGGAGTAATTCTCATATAGGACAAAAATCACGTGCTTACAAGTCTCCTAATCTATTATTTTTCAATTCAATTAAATACTTCAATTGCAATTGTTCGTTTATTTTATTTTAATTGCTTATCCAATAATACAGGGATTCTCATAGATATTGATTGTGTTTGTAATTGCTTTAGTGTCACTTGCTTTTAAGTAATGTATCGGTTAATAATTTTTCTATAAGGGTAAAAGAAAAAAATAAATGACATTCTTTTTTGATATGGATATCAAGTAGACAAGTAGTAGACTGATCAACATACTTGGTTTTACGTTTGCACGTTGTACTATGGTTTAGTTCCTCCTCCGATTTCTAGTTATGTATAAAAAA